ATTGTAAGACACTTTTACAGGAACGAAAAAGAGACATCGTTGTGTGAAAATCTCCCATAGGAAACATCGCTGTGTGAGACGGCAAATTTAACAGAAAAAGGCATCGTTGTGTGAGGCACCACTGTATACTCAATGTACCCCAAAGCCCTGAAGTGACATGTGAATGAAGCCAAAGTATGAATGTTCCTGTTCACCTCTTCATTTTCAAACATGACCCTACGAGACGAAAATGGAGATGGTTCTGGTCTTCTAAGATCACACACATCCTTCAGAGAATGACATCCTCCTTCCTCTTCCTCTTGAAAATGACCATCAGCTTCCTCTTCATCCTCTGGAGCTATCCTTTCCAGGATAGAGTGTACAGCAAGTGGATTTACTTTTAACACAATCCTAGCATTCAGAGAGAAAAAAAGAACAGAGACTGAATTCCAGAAATAGTTACACACATTTTATGACAATAAAATAATTTGTGAAAGGCCATGTAACAGTCATTTTATAGATGTTCAAAAGATTTTAATACTACTTTCATATACAGTTACTTTATATGATTTCTGTCTTGCCATGTTTTTGTCTTTTTATTGTTTTCAACTTTAATTCTGTAAATTTAATTCTGTCGAGATGACTTCCACCCTGTGGAGCCTCAATTGTACACTGATGACACCCAGCTCTACCTCTCCTTTTTCCAACTGCAATGGATGCTGTTCCGATCTTTGAACACTGCTTGGGGACTGTTCTGGACTGGACGAGGGCAACTGGACTGAGGTTGAATCCGGACAAGACAGAAATCTTGCATGTGGGCAGCCCTGGTCTCAGTGGGTTGGGAAACTCCCTCTCGTTTGGGGGAGTGACTCTTCTCACGAAGAGTTAGGTTCGCAGCTTGGGTATCTGCCTGGACCTGTATCTCACCGTGGAAACCTAGATGGCATCTGTGGTCCAGGCAGCCCATTTCCATCTTCAGAGGACTCTCCAGCTGCATCCCTATCTAGACACAGGGGCACTCATGATGCTGATTTATGCACACGTAATCTCAAGAATAGACTACTGCAGTGCTCTCTACGTGGGGCTACCCTTGAAGCTGATACGGAGACTTCAACTGGTCCAAAATTTGGCAGCCAGATCAATAACTGGGGTGAAGAAATTCCAGCACATCTCCCCCACTCTGGCCGCCTTTCATTGGCTACCAGTTCATTTCCGCATCAACTTCAAGGTTATGATGATAACATTCAAAGCCTGAAACTGTTTAAGACCTTGGTACCTATCAGAACGGCCTGCTCCCAGCCAGATCTGTCAGTAATAACGTTCTTCACAGGCAGGGTGGTTGAGAACTTTAGCCCTGAAGGAGGCCTGGAGGGAAAGAACAAGAAACCGGGCCTCCTCGGTGTTCGCCCCCCATTTATGGAACAACCTGCCCACTGAGATTCGCTTGGCACCCTCACTGGATGGGTTCAAACGAGCATTGAAAACTCGGCTCTTCTGCCAGGCTTTCCCGGAGCATTAAGATCCCGGCTTCCCTTTTATCATGTTTTTTGTCATCCTCTCCATTGCCCTTTTTACCACCTTTATTGCCATCTGTTTTAATTTACCCTATTTGACTATGTATTAATTAATTTATTTTTTATCGTGTCTTAATATTATTGCTCATATTGTTGTAGCCGCCCAGAGTGGCCCGGTTGCCAGATGGTGATGGGTAGAAATTCAATAAATAAGTAAACAAATAAATACTTTGCTTTGATGTTACTTCAGCTGCTTTGAGTACTTTTACTATTGAAGCATACAGATAAATTGATAACCAATGATTATATAAACATTAAAATCACAAAATCTGCACTACAGTAATTATTAAGAGGCTTACACCAGATTTATAAGATCTCCTAATTGTTTTAGCTTTATTATTTTACCTGCCATTTCACAAAGCACTGCCACTGCTCAGTTGCTATTCTAAGTACACCATGTTACAGATGTTTTCAATACTAGCAATGATGGGTCTGCAACAGATCACCTTCACAGCACAAGGATTTCTGTCCAAGCTATAATCACTGACCAAAATAGAAAACAACATTCTAAAAGCCATATATAATACTGCTTAGTTACTCCTGCCAAGATGCTGATTATAATTAATTCTGCTATAGCAATATGGTTTTCCAGTAAAACAATATTATAAGCACTTGAAACACATATAAAGAATGAATGTCACAGACTATATCTGACCATAGATCAAAGCTCTAAGGATGAAGGTGGAAGACCAAATACTTTAAGTTACCGTGGCCAGTCAAAATTATCTGATGAAATCATCTCTCCAGCTACATCACTAGAAACTTGGAAAAAGCGCACAGCCAATTCGTCTTTGCCTTCTTCAAATGATCCTGTGATGAAATCAAAGAAGTTTGCACTGTACTCACTTGTGATTAATTGCATAGACATATTAAACAATGGACTGAATGTTGACTATTTTAAAGGTAATATTTTATTAGTTTTTTCCCCTCACCAGTGACACAAACACTTTCTCTTTAAAACCATTTCTTTTACATGGGAGATAATGAAAAAGGTAGCCTTTAGCTAAGAAATTAATTCAGATCTAATCTGTGCACTTGAGGAGAGCCATATATTTGAAGATTTATTACAGGAACTATGAAGGGGCAATTTAATTTATTGGATGGAAATATCTCTGCACTGTATCTGCATATTCCTACAGCTATATAAACTAAACCAAAAAAATAGGTACACTATCTTACCAGTTAACTCTTTAAAAGTGAGTTCCAATTCCACTTGCTCTGGAGTTGGCCCTCCTGTAAACTCAGTTTTAAGTTCTACATCTGTGAATTCTAAGTGAAGAATTTCCTTCTGGAGGGATTTCTTAAACCACGGTCCTCGTTCTGGGTCCGATCGTAGGTCAGGGATTGGAAAGCGAACAGAAAGCTTTAAAGCTGGTGCAGTCACTTTAACTGATACTTTACAATTAGCAGGAGTACGTGAATCATCTAGAAAAACTTCAGCAAATGCCTTGTGCTAAATCAGTAGGAAAAGAATATACAGTTTTAAAACAATTCCAGAGGTTAAGAAAAATTCAATGAACCAAAACAAATGTACTTAAAAGGAGTATTAAATTTCTTGACAAAGTTGCCCATGTCTCTGACTGTAAAATATACAAATTAGCTGACCAAACTAATCTATGATTAGTACAGTATGCTGCCAGCTATTTTGAACACTGAAAAATTTGCATTTTATTTAGTAACTCCTCATTGCAACTTTTGCCCACATTTACAGAATTGCCTTACCATATTTGCCGGCGTACAAGACGACTGGGGATATAAGACGACCCCCCCCCAACATTTCCACTCAAAATATAGAGTGGACTGCTCTGCTGCAGCGCCGGCGCCGGCTGCCCGGGGCTCTGCCCGGGCCCGCCCTGGAAGTTCATGGCCGGTGACAAGGAAGGCGAGGAGGGGAAGCTGGGCGGGCAGCGGCAGCGGAGGAGGAGGGGAAGGTGAAGCAGCTCTCCGGGGGGGTGCGCGGGCGAGCTGGCTCAGCTGCAAGGAGGGCGAGAAGGAGGGGAAGCGGCCGGGCGGGCGGTAGCAGCGGAGGAGAAAGAAGAGGGGAAGCAGCTCTCCGGCGGCGGGCGGGCAAGCAGGCAGCTGGCTCAGCCGAGCAGGGCGGCAGGCAGCCCAGCGGTGGGCTCTGGTTGCTCAGGCATGGCCAGCTCTGCTTCCCTCCCTCCGTCAGAACCGACCGCCTGCCTTCCTCCCCTGCCGGCGCAGCCCCACATCACTCACTTAGCGGGGCTCCTTTCTGGCCCAACTGAAGTGTACCCGGCGACCCCCCCTCCACTTGGAGGCATGTTTTTTGGGCCAAAAAAGTCATCTTATACGCCGGCAAATATGGCATTTATTACTGCTTTCACTTCTTACATCAACAGTATTGCAGAAGCCACTGGGACTGGCAAAAGAAAGTGGCTTTAGAAAGAGGTCTTCATTTGACATACAGCTCTTTGGTGCCTCAATAATCCCCATTATTTCTATCTCCCAAGGACTGAGAAAACACAAATCTGCTACAACTGTCTTGTCTTTCTGCCAATTCCCCTACTCCTCATATCCTACAAGCAAGTACAACAACCTTGTAAGCAGATGGTTTCCTGCAGATTACTCAACAGAAGACTGAATTTTGTCCCAAAAGCCTTTGTGCAAGCAGAAATTATTTCTGAAAATATGCCAAGTATTTAGGGTTTTCTACTAGTGACAAAAATGTGTCAAGAATGCAAATAAAGCAACATTATTCTCTGCTTACCAGGCTAATATGTTTGTTGTATGAGGTGTACATGTGTGACGCCATCATCTCCACCGTAGTTAATTTTTGAGTCTGAAGCAGGGAATTTAGTCTGTCTACAATGCTGATGTCCAATTCACAGAAGGCTGGGCTCAGTTTGATATCCAAGTCTGCTTTCTGGGGAACAGAGCTCAGTCTCCCTTGGCTACCCTGTCACAAAAATGACACCAGAATTCAATAGCAAAATGTAAAATACTCACCTAATTCCAACAAACAGCTAGCACTGCATCACCATGACTATGGTCCTTTCCTCCACTCTCCTCCTCTCACTCAGTGCTCTGGGTGGTTCATGAAAACCAGCTTGGGGAAGAGTTCCTACCCTCTGAATGTGAGAAGAGGGCTATAGTGAGGAAGGGAAATCGTTCTCTTCACAGTTCTGCTGGTATAACCAGTTCCATCTGGAGATGTCCCCAAGTTCTAGCCCTCATTTACTACACTACTGACTACAAAGTTACACAAATCTTAGCATAAAAAACATAGTTATTTATCCTTAAAAATCTGAAGGAATAGTATGTTCATCTTTACCTGAGGCCCCTTGTTATCTGAGTGCTTGTAACGGAGATGAAGGCATGAGGGAGGGTGAGACTTGTTTCCTTGTTTTTCAGAGTTAAACATTAGCAGCTTGGGGGGGGGGAGAGAAATGCAAGAATACTGTCAGAGGTTGCAAATCAAAGTGAGTATATTAAGCAGAATTTTTGTAAAAAAAATCTGTTCAATAAGGACAGCTGCTTAAAGTTTTTATCTCGGAGATGCTCTTTGATAAAGCAGTAAGCCAATGTAACAAGTGGACTGTTGGGAATCTCCCCATTATTATGTCACATCTGGAAAAAACTTGCCACAATCATTGATTGCATCTAAATATCAGAAAACACAGTTCCCAGAAAAATTTAACAGTCAGAAAAGACTAGTTCAACAAAACCACAGATCTTCTGACTATGCCCTGATACAGCCATCAGACTAAGACAGCCTTGGGTAGGATGGAGAAACAAGTGAACATTGTGCATTAAGAACTTCCCTCGCCCCCCTATTAGCAAGAAAAACAATGTATGTTTGGCATCTCCTGTCCATGAAAATATATCATTTTTCAGAAGAGGAAGGAAATTCTTGTTGCTCTGGCAGGCTCCCTCAATTGCTTTTTCATTACCGAAATATGGGATTTCCCAAAATTCCACAAACAATCACCTTTTTTGCAAGAATACACTGCAATTGTTAACATAAACCTTTGATGTGTGCAATCATGGCCACTTTACTGCATGTCTAACACTATAAATGGCTTTTCAGTTCAGAGTCAAATGGTCAAGTGGAAAGCAAACTTTTCAGTGCAGCCAGCTAAAAACCTAATCATGTTATCTAATAACCATTCCTATGTACATTAACCCACCAAAATCACTTTTAAGGAAATATTCTAAATATAGTATTACTAGAGTGGTACAAGTTTTTGTATTTTCAATTGGTAGCATTTAATTAGATAAACAGATTTTTACCTCTGTATAATGAGGTATTTCAGAACGAGAGTCTGTAGAAAAAAGGCATTCCAGAAGTTCCATTTGTCTGATAGATAAATCTGTACTCAAACAACGGGAAGCTGATCTTTGTCTTTGTTCATAGGATACTTTGATGCCTGTACCTATAAATCTGTAGTGAGAAACAGAGGTATCAAAAGCGCACAACCTGAACATGTGAGTATCTTTGTACTAGAATCTTTTGTTAACTCACTCCAAGATATATTAATGCCCACAGGGAGTAAACAGATGGCATCTACATATCCTGGTTTTCCTACATATTTGCAAAATAACTTTTGATACTGCTTTTACCAGAGCAAAAGGACATATCACCGCATCAACACTCCCCTTTGCAAATTAATGTATTAGTACTCTCGGTAGAAGAAGAAAGCCAACAGAAGGACAAACTAATAACTATGGGGAGAAGTAAGCATCCTGTTCACATCCCCTCTAACAACTCCATCTGCATACACGTACTTCAGGCTGAGTGAGGTTCAACTGCAATGAGATGAATGCCAACTTCAGATCCAAAGGTGAAAAGAGGGGAAAATGCTAGTTCCTTGGCTTCTCTGCCAAAGGAAAGGTTGAAAATACAAAAGAACTCTTCCACCCCTGAATAAGGCACATGGCACACCACTCCCTCCTAGTGAGAGCTGAAGAAGCTAGAAGTGGATTTTTGTTTTGCCTAAACAAGCTGCATCTGCTTCAAAGGAGAATTAGCTTTAAAGGAGAATTAGATCCAAAAGAGGCATATACCATTTTTACAAAATAATCTGGAAGAGTGACCTCTAGGAATCAAGGTTCCTGCCTCTGACAAACACTAACATTATTGCTTTATTAGATATAAAACTGCACACAAATTATTATTATTTTACAACATGGCTGGACAGTTATGAGTTCATATGAATATGCTTTATTTAGAGACAAATAAGAGAAGCTGTACCTAAGGTGGTCGTGTGAACAAGCTTTTGAAAATATTTCTCGGAGTGAGTGAAAATCCTCTGTTGGAAACCGAGCTGGATCAACTTTTTCTATTTGACTAAAAAAATCCTGGGTCATTGGCGTCAGCGGGCTAACATTTACTGATGTTTCAGGGGGTGATAACGGGTCGATGTGAAGCACTGAAATTGAGAAAGCACCCACATCTAGTCGAAAAAGAAGTTCAGGCCTAGATTCATCCACTGAGACAGATCTGGATGGAAGAGCTGAAATAAGAGAATTAATAACATTTAAGTTAATTTTTAGCTGCATGTCTTTAGACAGACACTAAAAGAAACAACTACAATAAGATCCCCATATCTGCTGAGGATTGGTCCCAAGCCTCTGTGGATATTGAAAACAGGAGATAATAGCAAATACTTCAGTGGTCCCCAACCTTTTCCAAACCGCGGAGTGGTTGGGGGGGCGGAGTCCATGCATGGGTGGGCGGGGCACACACATGAGTGGGCGGGGGGCACTCATGCACAGGTGGGTGGGGCACCCATGCATGCGTGGGGGGAGTGCATGCATGAGTGCATGCAGGGCGTATGTGCGGGGGGGAGATCTGTCTCCGTGGCCCGGTCCTGCCAAGGCCCGGTAAAAAGCCAGGTTTTCAGCTGTTGGTGAGGGCTTCAGGGAGTGAGCTTCAGAGTGGGGCAGCCACAACTGAGAAGGCCCGGCTTTAATCACATTTTGTTTTTAGAAAAGTGATACCGACACTGTACATTCGACATTGTACAAAAACACACCCTTCTCTGTGCTATACACAGCATGGAAAAGAATAAGCAAAGGCTACCAGACCAGATGGGTGGGATATAAATCAAATAAATAAATAAATAAATAAATAAATAAACAAACAAACAAACAAACAAACAAACAAACAAACAAACACACACACACACACACACACACACACACACACACACACAGAGAGAGAGAGCTTGAAAAAACTCTTTTTATAGACTGCAACTCTTCCCAAATCCCTGTCTTAGCCAGGCAATTCTGAGATGTATAGTAAAATGAGAAATTCTCCCAGTCTTCGTATGTAGAAAGCATTGTTCAATTTCCCACTGTGCTTTCAAGGTGATGAGCTAGCCTGCTGGGTGGATTTGTGCCGGCTGCACAGTCCTAGCGCACCCCCAGAAGAAGGGAAGGGTCGACCACTGCTGAGCACCCTCTACCTGCAGAACCCTGTAAAGCTTAACTATAAAGTCAGAATCAACTTAATGGCATGTTGTTGTCCCCATTGTTTTTGGTAGGTGTAGATTATGATGATTGTCTCTGATTTCAAACCTCCACTGCCCTGTGGCTATATCCACTCATGGAAACGGCTTCAGGAGTTAACCTAGAGGCAAAATCCGGAGCTGGAGTCCCGAAAAACAATTAAACAATGTTTAATGTGTTCCAATGGGCTTTTACGTTCCGTTTAGTGACGATTTCATAACGGATTAACCTCGCTATGCGGGGCACCACTGTACATACATACCATACATAGTCATTTCAGATTTCTGACTTTTTAAACAAAGTTCTGAATAGCAAGACGAAAACATCTCATTATTTACTTACAAGTCCTTCGCAATGAAGCAGGGTGCAGGGTGCTCGGTGTAAATGACGAACCTCTGACTTGCGGTCGTTCCTGTTTGTTTTGATCAAGAAAATCTCCCCACATCTGTTGCTGCTAAAATAAGGAGACAGTGGCTATTAGGCATCATGCAGAGGTCCACACAGCTGCCTGTCTAAAACTAATGGGATCTGTCTATGAAAATAGGGTCAAATATAACCCCTCCACCTTCAGATTGCCAACTCCACCATAAGAGAATACCAAATCCAAACTTTGTCCTGTCAATGCAAGGAGTCAACTACTAAGTGAGAGCAATCCATGGCTTTCATGACAGACAAGAAATCCTGAGCCACTTCAGCATGAACATTGAAGTCCCAGAACAATAAACCTGGGATAGCCCAACACCCACCAGGGACCATTTAGATAGCTTGGGAAGAGAGACTGTCGGGCAGCAAGATGAATAACACACCAACAGAATCCCAACCCTGTCCCAGCCACCCATCTGCAACAGCACACATGCAAAATTGGTAGACTACTCACTGTATGGAGCATCTGGTTAGCAAAACTAAATGTTTACAGACTACAACCACTCCACCTCCCTGCCCTCCACCCCAAGCTCGCTACTGTATATCACGAAGTTGGGTAAGACAGACTCAAGTCTGTGACACAAGCTAAGTTAGTACCTTCATTACCAATCAAATCCTTAAAACTCAATTTCCCTGCAACTGACCTGGCCTCCCAAAAAAATAAAAAATAAAAGAGGATTTTTAGATTGGAAGGTCTAGTTTTATTGTCAACAGGGCTTCTTTAACCAGATTCCAATCTAAAAAGAGGGAAGGAGCCAACAGCCAGGGTGGAATTTCCTATCATATCTACCCCTACCAGTAACTACCTGTACTTCCCCCAAATAGTCCTATTTTTCCAGATACATTTTCATGGCCTGCTAGGACAGAAATGAAGTTGAAACCTTTTCCTTCAACGTACAATAATCTAATTGTGCACTAAGCACCCCTGACCATAAAATCCTAGCTGCCACCACACACAGAGTCTTATGACCTTCCAGTGTTAGATTTATTTGAGCTGAAACTGTGTTGCTGTCCTGTTTGTGTGTGTTGGCTCTCTCTTGTTTTAATTGTTTTACTGGTATAGTTTTACAATGTTTTATTAGCCCTATGCCCTGATTTAAGATTATTACAATTTTAATTTACGATTATTAGCCCTATGCCCTGATTTAAGATTATCATAAAAAAAAACAGCTGAATTCTAGCAATAAATTGTTTTTTAAAGAACAACATACCACAACAGCACCAAGTGGAGATCCTGCCGGACTAGCAGCATATGTACTTGCTACAGAAAGGTCTAAATCCATTGTTGGTGGGTCTCCAAGGGGTGGCAGAGAGGAAACACTGTGAGACATTTCCATGTCAGCCATTGAGAAGAAAACTTCTTCTTCTGGGAAAAGAGAAGATAGACCATGATATGCTGCCAGTCTCTTGTATGGAGGTGAAGGTTGTTCAACAAATAAACCATTAAAAAGTATGTATAGATATCGCATTGTGCACTGCATACTGCATATAAATACAAATAATTAAAATACTGCTTTGTGTTCCTAAGCTGAATGAAAGAGACTTTTAAAAATTTTGGACACACATAGTTGGTCCAGTACAAATTTAAGACTGCCTATTTTTAATCTCTTAAATAAAAAGGTACTGTTACTTGATCATCTCTTCTCTCCAACTCTTCCCGCTCAGAGTGGTATAAATATACCAGATGGGCGGAGAGGTACTGTTACTTCATCATCTGTTCTCTCCAACTCTTCCCTCTGCTGTATTTCAAGCCATTATATAAAGTTTGGCTCTAAATTCTGGCTTGTTCATAAACCATTAACCACTTCTCCCAATCTAGATATAACAGAAATCTGTGCTTAATTGTGGCTTCCGCTGTACTGCAGCCAAAACTGTGCAAAATCTGTGCTTAATTGTGGCTTCTTGATTTGATCCCCTGCGTGCATGAAGACAGAAACAAAGCATGAACAAAAAGCTTATATGTGGCTACACTAACATTAGCAATATCTTGGCTTATTAAACCAGGAGCCAACTGTACTAATATGCTAACTTCAAATACCATTTTATGAAGGTTCTCTATTTCAATAAAAAGTTTATTCAGGAAGGCAAAAATTCTTGCCCTCCTGTTTAAATAACACTATAATCATGTCCATTCCTTAAAAAAATGAATTAGGCAACATATGAGAGCCAAGAAACTGAAAATGAATCCAGATAAAATGAAGTTCCTACTGTTACGAGGATCATCAAGAGAAATCAAGAGAAACCTGAGGGTACTCTTGGATGCAGTACTCTCTATGGAGGCTCAAATATCTGCCATGCACAAGAGTGGCTAACTTCAAATGCCATTTTATGAAGCTTCTCTATTTCAATAAAAAGTTTATCCAGGAAGGCAAAAATTCTTGCCCTCCTGTTTAAATGACAGTATAATCATGTCCATTCCTTTAAAAAATGAATTAGGCAACATATGAAAGCCAATAAACTGAAAATGAATCCAGATAAAATGGAGTTCCTACTGTTACGAGGATCATCAAGAGAAATCAAGAGAAACCTGAGGGTACTCTTGGATGCAGTACTCTCTATGGAGGCTCAAATATCTGCCATGCACAAGAGTGGCTTCTATCAACTTTGGCTGACTGCCCAGTTGGATTCCTACCTGGATAAGAAATATCTAGCAAATGGGTTCTCACACTGGTAATTTCAAAAATAGGTGACTGCAATGCTCTCTATATAGGGCTGTTATTGAAAAAAGTATGGGCACTTCAGGGGTCCAAAATGTGGCAGCCAGACTGACTACTGAGACTAGTAAATTTGATCATCTATCTCCAGTCTTAGCATGCCTTCACTAGGCCCCCATAAGTTTCCATGCTCAATTCAAGATGTTGGTTATGACCTATAAATCCCTTAACAGTTTTGGACCTTGACATTTTTTGAAATGTCCCTCCCAGATACCAATTATGCGTTCCGCTTGCTGCTTTCAATCCTTGCTCTTAAAAGTGGTCACACTGAGGGAAACCAAAAAGTTGAATACAAGGAATCATGCCTTCTTGAGTGTGGCCCCTGGTTTCTGGAACAAAATGACATCAGAGATATGCCAGGATCCTTCCATCCTTATGGTTAGAAAACTGATAAAGATGGGATTATTTAAAGCTATCTTTAATAACTGAATATCCTGGACATTTTATAAATACAATTTTTTAAACAAATTCTACATTTTATACAGTTATTTATATTTATGATTTACTTACTGTCTGTTGGATTGTTTATTGTTTTGAATGTATTTTTGTTATTGGAGTTTGAAGGATGTAAGTTTTAATGTTGTAAACTGCCCATTGTAGTGCTTGCACTAAGGGGTCAGTACATAAATTGAATAATATTTATTTAATTCAATTTTTACACTGTCCATCTTCTGGCCAGGTCACTACTCTGGACAGCTTACAATAAGGGGATCAACAACTTAATGTAAGGTTTCTCTTTAACTTTCTCTCATCAACATAAAAATACTTGGTTTTGGCTAGACCATGTCCATATTCAGGATCTGTGTCTCAGTTTAGGATATAAGCAAAATGATCATCAACACAAAACTAACTGGCTTTCTTTTAAACTTGACTGTATCTATATCATCTGCTGAGAACTGTTGGTGATACACCCATTTTGAAGTTAGTCAGTTAATTGCTCACCACGACTTGAAGGAGTTCTAGCTGCTTCAGTTTCATAAAAACTTCGATCAGACTGTGTGCCTGCTGGAGAAATTTCTTTCCTTAAGTAGCGGTTGAGTTCCATCTGAATGCGATATTCATCCTCCTGCTGCATTGGTCGATTTTTTCTATCTTTATTTGACAACTCAATTCTACTGGGATTCTCTGTAGTCAAACACAGGATACGGAAGCATGACATTGTATTCAATTCCCAACTGCCAGTGAACACAAGAAGTCCTCCCCTCATTTGTTTGGCCTCTTCAGTAAGAAATTCACTTTTCACAATCTTAGATAACAAAACTATAAGCACGTTTTATTTCTTTTCCAGAAATTTGTGAACAAATAAAAAATGTATGAGCAGGGAAATCACATTTTTGAGCCTGGCACATTTTCAAAGCTAACGAGGAAAAGCTAACAAACATTACTTTCCAAATACATTAATTGCTCTTGACATAAATGTTTGAGTCTTCTTTAACTCTCTGAAGTTTGCATTCAGATGTAGTACAGAACACAAGAGGAAAAAAACAGTAAGATCTTCCCCTCTTAAGATACTATTATTTATCAGAAGAAGTCCACACTTGGCAGTCTTGAGTTGTACTCTATATTGTTACCCAAACTCATCTCAAAAATTCTTCACTCTTATTAAAGCCAGGAAAATTTGTGAGATCTTCTGGCTCAGTTGTTAACTTCTATGGAACAAAAGGGAAGGAATCCATATAACAACAGTGCTCATGTTTGCTCTCAGCACACAAAGAAGTTTGGGGGGGAATATTGTGCCTGAACCACAAGAGTGCAGAGGAGTAGATAAGTGGGGAAACAGGGATAATTCATTTCAAAATGTTAAAATACTACTAATAATTTAATGCAATATTACACATATACTGGAGAAGAAAATCAAATTGCCAATAAAAATTCCAGCAACACAATAACTACTAAACGACTTTGATATGTTTCCAGTTTGACATTTTTTAAAAAAACAAGTCTATGACTTTCAAAGGCCAACTTATGGATAACAAGCAACTCCCCCATCATGTAGTTCTGTGTTTAAGGTGTATTAAACTACACATTGTAATTTAGGACACAATACAGCCAAGGCTATGTTTCTTGGACTTAAATCCCTTGGACTTCAGTGGGACAGATCTAATCCTACATTTAACTCTGAATTTCAATCCATGAAACAAAGCCTTAGTTATTATTGTACATTAGGTCTAAAAATTATTTAAAATTCAGTTACAGAGCAAAACATATAACAATTTGCAATTTGTACTTACCTGGTCCAGCAATAGCTGCTAACATGTCCAACAGAAGGTGCACCTGTCTGGGTGACAGGAACAGGTGAATGGAATCTATCTGTCCATCTACATCCAACTTATGGGGAAAATGAGAAAATAATCATTTGTTTCCATTTGTAGCATATCACACAATCTCCCTACTGTACCACTTCTGAGTTAACTCATTTTATAATTTTAAATCAGCAGTAAATATTATGAACCTGTACAATATTCAGCAAAAGACAGGCAGGATATCACAATCCATCTTCACTGATGGTGTTTTTTGATATCAGTGTTTTAGACTTACTTCCACAATGAATCTATTTTGCATTTTTGCCTAATTAGACAAAAATGCAAAATAGATTGTACCCAGAACCATATTAGAATTAGAATTAGAATTTATTTACTGGCCAGGTATGTAAACCATACCCGGAATTTAATACGGCTACCGGCCACACTTAAAAACATTACACACACACACATACACCATAAACAGAAAATTCACAAGACAATTAAGAGCAAATTCTACAAAAACCGATTGCCTCAACTCCCAGTTGCGTCAGATGGTTACAAATTCAGCAGTTTGATGGCACAGGGAAAAAAGCTATTTTTGTGCCTCGATGTTTTAGTATACAGCGTCGTGTTTTAGACTTACTTCCACAATGAATCTATTTTGCATTTTTGCCTAATTAGACAAAAATGCAAAATAGATTGTACCCAGAACCATATGCCTGGTTGTTTTAAATATGCTATTGCCATTTGAACCCTGGACTGGATTCTTGAGGGATATCAATCAGGGAGAGTATCTATGATTTCAGAAAGGTGGAGGTTGTTTTGAATTATGTCTTATTTTTGCACACACAATACATCTTAGCGAGCTCAAGTAAATAGCTCTGTCAGCCAAAATAACCTCTAAAATAAGCAAATACAGTCACAAATATAAACAGTAAATTAAAGAAATAAAAATAAATACATAAATGCAGTCATCAGCAGTTCCCCAATCATGACAGAATCAGCGTCTGTGTAATCACTCATATTCTTGCCTTTACCTGTAATATACGCAGAAACAACTAACCTTTGCTCCTGGAAGCACTTCATTTTGCTTCAAAGTAAGGCTCAGTTTCATCCTTCCAACCAACCTACATATCTGCACAGGGTCTGATGGAGAAACCTCTGGCACATTTCTTGCTAACTGTGGGTGTGGCTCATATATAATTTTTGGGTTCCAGCTTGGTGAAAGTTTTGGTTCTGTAACCTTTAAAATAAATAGGAAGGAAGTTAGATGTAGTGAAGAACACCAAGTGTGCATGATCTGAGCCGTTTATTAGAATGGGAATGTGCGCCTAATATACACATGACAGACCTAGCTGAAAAATACATTATTCAGTACCCAAACACAGTTCAAACATGTTCTAGCATTACATGCTTCCTTTGCTTTTGCAATGTCTAAGTCTCAACCTAGAAAGACACATGGCCTCCTCTCCCCACTTCATCCTCACAACCCTGTGAGGTGGATTGGGCTAAGCTTCACAATTAAGCAGGGATTTGAACCCAATTTCCAACATCCTAGTCTGACAAAATAACCACTATGCCATATTAGCTGATCTAGATCAGCCACGACAGAAGAAGAATCTGAGTCACTGAAATGAATGTATTACAACACCATGCAACATACTCTAAGCATCTAAGCAACTATGAATATGCACCTATGTAGACTTAAAAATAGTTTTACCAACTGTGCAGTTGAAGAGGCTGGAGAGGACTTAGCTGATGCAGGAAATTCATCCCAAAAGAAAGAAACACCTGAGAGCTGTAGGAGTTTGTGAGCAAAAGCCGTGGGCTGGTGCACATTAATTCCAGAGCATTCATCAGCAGTTTCATCACAGTATATTGTTCTGCAAATGTGGAAATAACAAAATGGAATAAAGACAGATTTTTTTTAAAAAAAATCCCATTTGTACTGCATATATATCTGTGTCTGAAGGCATTTTGTCTCTGCTCAATTTAAAACAGTCACTGATGTTCCAAAACAGAAGAATACCCTAAAATAGTTTCCCCTTAAAAACCAACATTTCTCATGCTAATACCTTGCCTTACAATTTGTACAGCACAATCCCAAGTAAGTTCCCTACCTACTTACTTCTCAATGTGAATTTCAAGTGCTGTTCCGCTTTTAGAATTATCTGGCACATGTTCAATTCTCAGAACAGTATCTAAAAAGTTGACTTTCACTCTTCTTAAAACTACAGGGAACAAACAACAATGAGAAACAGGTCACACAGAAAAATAAATCATACAAACATGGTAGTACATTCAGCCCTTGTGGTACTTATATGTCTATTTCACTAAAAGCAATGGTCTTTCAGTGGAAGTGAGCTCTCATCTACTCCTTGGTCTCACATATAAAGCTCAGTTTAAAATGATTATTGTACAGAAGGAGCAAGAGAGTATGTGATTATCTTGTAGCTACTCAGGACAGGGGTACTTAGGATGCTGAAAGAAAGTGGACTGCTGAATCATGACAGGAAGCTTGTGTACTGACCTTCCCCTGCTATGTAAACACTATCAGACAGTGCTTCAAGCATGAGAACTATGGATGTGGGAAGAGTGTTCAGTAACCCATATTGAATACCGCTGAAAGAAAGCAGACTGCTGAATCATGACAGGAGGAAGCTTGTGTACTGATCTTCCCCTGCTATGTAAACACTACCAGACAGTGCTTCAAGCATGGGAACTGTGGATGTGAGAAGAGTGTTCAGTAACCCATATTGAATACTGCAAGCACAATAATAGTCAGGTTTCATTTTTTAAAAAAAGAATTTTCATCAAACAAATGGACAACATAGTGTTTTCAGGGTACAGTTCTAAGACTCCCACCCATCTAATCAATAAAAGCAGGGCTTTCCATATCATTTTCAATTACATTCACCAACTCATTTGGCAGACAAAGTTTTCATTAACTTAATGATAATATTTTCATCTGTGAAACCCGAGACGAGAGCACCGTCCACCCTTAAGATTAATCAGGAAATTTAGACTGGCCCGCCTCCATCACCCAGAGAGACTGTTCAACGGGGAGTTGACACCCATGAACTAGAAGAGGGATTACTGAAAGTAATGGTAGCTACACAGACTGAGCGGGAGTTGGCGGGAAAAGAAGAAAAGGTGAGGTCCATGGTAGACGTGGGAATGGGGAAATAAAAAGGGAGGAAGACCCAATACCGCGGGGGGGGGGCTGGGAACTTATCTGGGTAGAGGATCCTTGGACAGGCAAGAGGGAAAAAGTGAGAGTACACCAAGAGGAGGCAGATTACCGCCGGAGATGTGGATTACCCCAAAGACCATCGTATTGGGGTGAGTCAGAGACTTGCGAGTGGCAACAGCGCCCTAGGGAGGAGAGGGAGACTGTATCCCAGGAAAGACTACAACATCTGGCATGGCATTTGGAGGAAGCCCGGAGGAAGGAGTACCTCCGGGACCCTGGCACCCTTGTGAGAGAGAGAGGGAACCAACCCCTCTGGGGCGAGACCTGAGATGAGGAGACCATCCCATTATTAGGAACTGAAGGAAACCATCTCCTTGAAGATGATGTGGACCCCTTTTTACAGGGACCTTGGGAGAACAAATCGTTAAACCCATTTGAGACATATGTATGGTTGCCCTTGCATCGCCCGTTGGCAGCAAGAGAGACGCTGTATAGTAATCATTCGAGTGAGGAGTTAAGGTTAAATGATTCAATAAATCCAAGTTATGGTTTAAATCTACAAGTGACTCCTGCTTTATTCGGAAAGGAGAAGGAGGCCCTAGGCGAACTCTCACATCACATTTTATTTTCAACTGACACTCAAGTTTTTGGCCACTCTGAAGCTAACCGGTCTTAAAATATGCATAAACTGAGAGACAAATTTGAACAATCCTTCAAATGGAGAACTATCAAGTGTAGTTGCCCAATTAAATGATTCTTTGGCATGCAGCACGCTTTACCAAAACCGTTTAGGGCTTACGTATAAAGCCCTAAACCGTTTAGGACCTCGATACCTGGCGGAACACTTACTCCCACCTAGTTCTACCCGCGTCACATGTGCGAGTCAGGAGGTGAGGCTGAGGAGCCTGATGCCGAGGGAGGCCCGGAAGGAAAAAACAAGGAACCGGGCCTTCTTGGCGGTGGCTCCTCGCCTCTGGAATAATCTGCTTCCGGAAATTCGCGCTGCACCCTCGCTGGGTATTTTTAAAAACCAATTAAAAACGTGGATGTATAGGCAGGCCTTCCCCTCCAATTAATTCCTGACCTTCCTTCCTTTTTCTCTTTATTTGATTTATTTTGTATTTTTCCCATCTTGCAGAATTATTTAATTAGTTAATTGTTATAAATCTCTTTTATACTTGTTATTTTTTTATGTTGTAAGCCGCCTAGAGTGGTCAAAATGACTAGATAGGCGGGGTATAAATACAATCAATCAATCAAAAACTGAGCATTATGAAAAATGTGATTGACAACACTTCCTCTTCACGGTAAACCTCAATGCACTTTCTTCAAATTTTAACTTATTATACTGCTTTGCAATTTATGGAATTAAAGTACCTGTTTCAATTGTTTCAGCAAACTTCTCAAGTCCTTCAAATGGTTGGGATCCCTCTCCTTGCTCATCCGTCAGTTTCTGGCTAAGACATTCTCTTGCAAGCTGCATACTACTAGTCATAAAACTGGACCAATACATGGGTTCTGAACCAGAAGCTACAAACCAAGATTTAAGCCACATATGTTTTGTCATTAATAGACTTCAAAATAAAATCCCATCAATACAGGTGAGCTTCATGAAATAAATTAGAAGCACAACTTCTGAATACAAGATTAAGAAACTTTGAACTATGAACACTGCTACTGTATGAATACGTGTATTCTAATCAAATCTATCTCACTTAATATCTGAAGTGTTTCACTAGCAACATTTTCTACAAAAGACACATTATCATTTATTGATGACATGTTTACATTAACTCCCATTGCTTTTTCTTACAGATACAATCCAGCCTGAATCAACAGAACACTAACAAGCAAACTGACATTTACAGAAAGAAACAAGGATCAGAGGCAAACCCATGTACATCAAGTTGCTAAGAGTATTGTATGTTTTAAAAAAAGGCTATTCCTACTCTGTATAGATGCACTACATTTAATTAAATGACTATAATCCTATTAGTGTTTGCATAACAATAGTGTAATTTGCCATGGCTAATTGATGAGGAGTGTGGGCAAATCAGGCACATGATTACATACCTCATCATTTAGCAAGTTACACACAAAAAAACCCTCATGTGAACACCAATAGGATCCTGGACAGTGTCCCTGATGCCACTGTAATATGACTACACACAGAAGATGCAAAACAGTTGATTTCAACAGTACTGTAAACCTCGAAGAAAATGTGGTCCAAAACCTCATGTAACCTTTCCTTGCAGATGTAAGAATACCTACATCTTGTGAGTACTCTTCACATATTCTTAACATTGTACAGCCCACCAGCCAGCACAGACCTCACGAAGCAAACATGGCTGATCAATGATAAACTAAATCTGATATTTTTATATTTCCTACATGCTGATCACAAATCTGCTTAAAGCTGGGATCAACAGAATATTAATAAGAGAATTGATGTTTTCAGAAAGAAACTTTTCGGTCAAAGGCAAATCCAGATACATCAAGTTGGTAAGGGCATCATATGTTTGCATGTGTGCCCATCTCAATCTTCAAATTGTTTCATATGTTAAGAGTACTCACAAGATAAGACCAAACATACAGATCTGAGAGTTACTAGAAGCTGAGCTTCCAAAGTATTGTCATCTGAATGGTGAGTGGCAATGGCTCTCCTCTCTACAGTAATCTAATTCTTAATGACATAATTAGAGATGGGTGAATCTGCAATTTCTTTGACAGAAATCTGTGTTCACTGTGGGACATCCAAATATTCGACTCATAAAACTAAGGGGTTATAGTCATACGGGGGGGGGGGAATGAAACAACTGTCAAGGCTTCAACAATCAACAAGACAAATAATAACAACTATTTATTCACTAATAATCACTATTTCTTAAACTTACCCAGATGGGGCCTCGGCTTGAAGATCATCTCCAAACCCTTTACTTCAAGTGTACAGTTCTCTTGAAGCAGAGAGCCCCAAGGAATGGAAAGAGAAATTGACTGAATAAATCCCTCTGTGACTTCCAGAGGAGCATCTGCTGACTCCAGAATCTCATTTAGACTCTAAAACAAAGGAATAAAATAGAACATACACTCTGCATATTAATAGACAGATTTTGTTCAGTTTTGTTGACACCCATGACATTTTCAGATTAACAGGCCAAAAATGACAAAAGCGCTGCATGTTAAGTGAAAAACCCAATAAATCTATTTTCTTTTTATGTCTCACACTTAATCTGTGATTTTGATAAAGTGGAAATATGTTCCTCATGAAAAATATATAGCTTTGTTTAATAGATGATGGATGTATGGAATACTGCCATATATAACAATCTACTAATTCATATTTCCAGCATCAGCTGAAAAACAATCAAAACAAAGTGTGCTGCTTATGTACCACCCCATAGCTCTTAAAGCACTCTCTGGGCAGTTTAAAAGTTAATTATGCAGGAAGGCTACATACACATTGCCTCCCCCCACCCGCAAGATGGGTACTGGGACTGAACCTTGGGTCATGAGCACAATTTTGGCTGCAATACAGCAGTTTAACTACTGCGCCACAACAAATGTTTCAAATGTTAACTGTAAAAGATTAAATTTTCACTGAGGTAGAAAATGAAACAATGCAAACATAACACCTCAGAGAAAACCTTTGTGAAAAAACTTCACTATAATACAAGATAAATAATAAAATGCCATGTAATTTCCATTTTTACACTTATCACACTGTAACAACTGAATAGAAAGAATTTATTATTATGTACAAAAATTTTAAAACAGTTTAGAAAATTATTCGCTACTATTAACGTTTTACTATGAAACACTATTTCAAATGTTTAAAATACCACAAAATAAGCATGTCAAAACAATTTAATATACAGATCCTGAAAACTGTCTTGATTGGCGATATCCAGTCTATCTCTTTCATCTGTCCTGAAAGTTGATAGTTTATGAATTTCATTATTTCATAATAATTTTTTAGAGTTTACGAATTTCATTAATAGACTCACTACAATTTAAGAAGTTCTTTAGAGGTGGCAATGGCACTATGGAGCATTATAACTAAGGTTGAGAAACAATAGACATCTTGACAATATCTCTTAGTCAGCCAAGAAAACAGTTAATTTCTCCCATCCCTTTACTTTTCCCTTAGTTTGATACAAAAGGGGTTTGTAATTCAAAGCATTGCTACTATTTAAATGTGTTATGATGATTCCAAGGTATTTGAAGTGTGACAGTGTTACTGATAATCCCACTGAGAATTGGAGCAAATGACCATCTGTAAGTGCTATATTTAATGCTAATACCTTGCCTCTGTTGATAATCTATCCTGTCAGTGTCCCATCCAACACAAGATCTTTAAGATTTATGAGACACCAAGCAATGATCAGAGACCACCAAAGTTTCATCAGCATTAGGGATCTTTTACTATTACTCTGAACCTCTTTTACAATTTGATCCTGTTTTAGTAAGTTAGCAAGTTTCCTTAGCAGTAACACAAATGGGAGGGGGAAGCCAGGAATTCTGGTTAGTATCTCTATTAATTGGCACTGGAAAGTAATCTAAGCCATTAAATCTTATTAAAATATTTGCTGAAATCGTGCTGGTGGAGCTGCATATTGCAAACACTGATGATTTTATTAGTAGGCAGCAATGATCTTGAATCAAATTAAAATAAAAACTTCTGCCATCCTAGTTTCCAATGCTTCCCAGATCCCTTTCGATCTGGGGAAGTGAGGAGAGAAGACCTGCTTCTTAACTGGCAACATTTTAAAAATATTCTGACCCCATCAATGACCTATCTATTCTATATTAAAACAAATACTGTACCAACACTAATGGTATCTCCCAATCTGTTTGCTTGAGAACCTTTGCTATTTTTATTAAGCAAGGTTATTGATGATGAGAATCAATTTCACTTGATTTTGAGATTCTTCACTTGATTCTTCATTATAATTCGGGCAATTGCCATGAAAATAGGATGCAATCTCATTAACTCCTTTTAATTTCTAATATGGAGTCAAAAAATTTAGACAAATACTTTCTGATTGATTTTGGAACATTTTGTAAAAAGATCCAGCTGGAGTTTGTTAAGGTTTAATCTTCTCTGTTGCTGGACATATCTTGTCTAGTAGAGTTGGCTGAGTATTACTCTGTTCACCAACCCAACTAATGCTTCACTTGACTAACTGATTTCATACATGTTCATCTAGTGTCTTAAGAACACTGCAAAGAGTAGCAATACTTATGTCTGCTGCAAAATTAGTTATGTCTGAAAATAATTCAGATGGCTTCATTCATCTTCTCTCAGAAGTGAGTTTCACTATAACAGGGTATCCCAAAATGATATTGAGCAGGATGGATCTGATTTGTATCATGACCTAATTTTTTTAAATGGATGATTTAAATAATAATGCAGTAAAACATCAGACACCCTGCTGCTGCCTACACTGCTATCAATTATCTTTTCTTGTAGTTAAGTCAAAACGATGTGATCAGAATACAATGCCCTTGATGTCAGTGCTTATATGTATGTTAAAGGGAAAGGAGAAACTGTTAAGATCAGGAGTTTCACTATAATTCAACAATACATCATAGGGCACATGACAGATAATGACAGAGCAAAGGAAAATGGAAATGGACCACACAATATAGAATACAATCAATGAATACAGTAGTTTCTGATCCATATACTATTATTTGTTTATTTCTATACCACCCCACTAGTGTTGTCACTCTCTTGACAATTATTTACGTTTTCTTCTCAAAAGTTACAGGTGATTTATGATTATTTAAAAACAGAATTCAACAAGATACTGTATACAGTATCTAACTTTTAAAGAGAATTTTGTACAATACCTAAGAAGAAAAAGCATGTAGAATTGCATTAATACTGGACTATGTGATTTAAACTAATATTTGATGTGTATGTTTAAAACATATTTCTAATATTGGATAGCTTCTTTACTCATGCCAGTCCCCACATAAAAATAGTCACTAAGATGAACCTGACTGGCAAAAGTGAAGCAAATGAAGGCTACCTGGACATTTAAATTAATCACCAGGGCATTTAAATTAAAAATCAGGAAAAATAGTTTTTATTTAAATTGTGATTTAAAACAAGATTTAAATCATTCTGATTTTTGGACATTTAAATTAATCACCAGGATATTTAAATTAAAAATCAGGAGAATAGTTTTTATTTAAATTGTGATTTAAAACAAGATTTAAATCATTCTGATTTTTATTCATCCTGAAACCATAGTTTCCACCTGTCCACTATGCAGTATAAGCTAACCTATGCCACAAGGTCACCAGAGGACAATGTCCACACTTTGCAAAGTTCCTTTCAGCCACATAACTGCCATTAGAGCATTTGCAAAGAAATCTCTATGCTGAGATGCCTAGCTACATATAATCACAGTTTTCAAGATTCATAGAGAGACAATAAATAAAAAGAGTAAGAAGTATTTTGGTGCTTTAAAAGCTTAACAGGTTTTATTATGCATAAGATTCTTCAGGGTATGCATAAAAACCTGGTTAGGCTTCAACATGCCACAAGACTCTTTATTGGTTTGCTGTTCCGTAGTAAAATAGCTTATCCTTGGCAATAGCTAGCTAAAGCTCTTTGAAAATATTTTGAATTTTAATATACCATAGTATACAAGTGAATACCTGTTTTGTGAAAAGTAGGAAAAAGACCCTGGTCCAAAAATTAATTATTACAAACCAACACTCAGACTCACAAACATCTGTTCAAAATTTAATTCTTGAGCAACACAACTGTCTACGTGGGAACTGTCAAGTCAATTCTGAGTTATGGTACCTGTTTTCAAGGTTTTCTAGGTAGAGAGTATTCAGAAATGGTTAATCATTCCCTTCTTCTGGGGGTGCCCTAGGTCTGTATAGATTGCCCAAGGCTATATAGTCTGGCTTTTTCCCCAGGAGGCACAATGGGGAATTGAACTCCCAACTTCTGGCTTTGCTGCTAGAAACATAACCCAGTGAACTATCTGAATAGTCCAAGCTTTTTCCCATGTCAAAAATGTTACAGTTAAAGGCAGAATTAAAAGTCAAGGCGAAAAAAGAAAAATACTCCATGTAACCAAAAAAGTGCACACTCTCACCTTTCCACATCATACCATGCTGTTTCTAGAAATAATATTTTCCTGTGACGCTTAACTAGAGCAGGGCAAGCAACTGCTAAAACATATAATAAAGCCAACCTCACCACCACCCCACTGCTTTTTCCTGCCTACTAGACACGATACCTCCGAAGTCCAATGGTGAGAATGAACATGGAATAACGTCCATCAAACCACATTAATTAGGAATGGGACTATCTCTGGGAGAATAAGCCTGCCATTCCAGTAACCTCAGTAGCCTGAATAATGGGACCTTTTAAGTAAAAATGTTGAATTTCCAAAATCCCAGGCATTTTTCCCAATCAGACTTGTCTATGAAAACACTGCTCTTCAGCTCAATGAATTAAAATACATCATGATTAGTTTTGTACTTAGTCAGTTCCTATAAATGCACACCAAGAGGTAAGCTCTAACTAAAATGTTACCTTCTCCTGGAAAATCTAAAATTACAGCCCAGGAGCAGAGGCAAATTTACTTTCTATTTCCTAGAGTTCCTGTTATCAAAACTCAATAAAGTACATGTAATCCATATTGACATCCGTGGGAATATGATCATGGTTTAGGGAGCAGGCAGGGGAAGTACAGTATTTAGTTTTATGATCCAGATGCTAGGAAATGAAACACAAGGGCCACCTGCACACCTGTTTACAGCTGTGAGGCTGCTGAGGAAATAACATCTATTTAAGAGGTACTGCACTATTGCAGCAAACCATAGCAAGCAACAAGAGTCAAAAGCCAGGAAGCTGAAGCTGTCAGCTGGGTCTACTGCTGGATCTTAAAAGAGGGAGAAGGGAAGACACAGAAAGCATCACTTACCCATTTATCCAAGGGGACCTGCGCCAAGGAGCCCGTGCCTTGATAAAGGTCTAGGGTGAGCTGCTCCAGGCTCAGCTTCTCCTGAAGGAAGTGGCCCAAGTACCTCTGCAGCAGGTACCGGCAGGCCCTTTTCTTGATGGACTCCGAAAAGGGCCAAGGCATGGCGGCAAGGAAGGAAGGGGGGGCAGGAAGCGACTACGGACCAGGAAGCCCCCCCCCAAAGTGAGAAGGGGGACGAACACACCCCAACGATGGGGGTCCGGCACGTTGTGGGGGGAGCGGGATGGTCTTTTGGTGGCGGGGGGGACGGGACAGGAGAGGAAACAGCCGCTCCGACGGGCGGACCGGCTCTCCTGAGGGACAAAGAGACGAAGCTCGGGCCAGTGTTACCCACGGAGATTGGGAAGGGGGGGCGGCCGAGATATCCTAGGAGGCGAGGGCAGAGGGGATAAGGCTGGGCTCAGTGGGAAGGGAAGGGGAATACTTCGGGGGTGGGCCTCCCTCAGTGACTTGGGGGGGGTAGAATGAGGCCTAGACGAGCCTCTCCCCACACAACCCTTATTCAGTCCCCTTCGGGAAGACGTCAAAAGCGGACAGCCCCCACGGGAGAACGCGTGGCTCCATTCCCCTTCTCTCGCCCTCCTCCTCCAAGGGAGAGGCGGAAGTCAAAAGCGGGAGCGAGCTTCAAAGAGATGATAAAAAGAGAAGGGACGCCCGGCCTTCGCTTCCGGTTCCTAATTAAAGGCTGCTTTTTATAGGGCAGGACGGTGGTTATTTCATGTAAAGAAAAAAAAATTACTAATCACTTTGAGTTTCTTTGTAGTATCTGTTTTTATACTGCATATCAATATGATATGAATGAATGTTCTATATTATAATTTCTGATTTTACGTATATTTTAAATATTAGTATCTGTTTTGACATAACATCATACAGAAATTATAACGTTGGTTTGTTTGACTTTTATACCGCCTATCTGGCTGCTACTCGCATAATGAAACCAGGCATCACTGAACAACAGTTAAAACAAAAACATAATGGTATAAATCAAAATTAAACACAGATGCACCAACAAAACGTAACCAATAATAACTAAAATGATTTTTTTTAAAAAGCAAGGCGTTAGGATTGATAAGTGTACTTCCGATTACTGGTGTGTGTGTTTATTACTTTGCTGTAATTCACTCTGGGAGCCCCGATGTACGAATCGGTTATGACAGATAAGGAGTTAAGACACCATTTATAAATCAGTGAAAAACGTATGGTTTTCTTTTAACGGTATGCAATAATATTTTGCGATTTGAGCTCTAACAAAAAAAACTAAAGCCATGGGATCTTTTTCTGAATCCCTGCTCTTCTGTGCGTGGGTGGCCGGCGCTAATTCTTCCCCTCAGCGCGTGTTCGGTTGAGAACCGGAGGTATACATGTGGCCCAGCTGCTTGGGCGCTTGCGCCGCTTGGCGGGCGCAGTATGTGACTGAGGGAAGGCGGTTGGTGTCTCCCGGTAACTGTTCGCCTCAGAAAGCGCCAAGGGTTTTGGGGGGGGAGGGGGGGGGGGGGGGGGGGGTTGGCATTGTTTTCGATTGTCCGTTGAGCGGGTTCGCCTCGGGGGGGGGCAGAAGGCGCGGTGAGGGGGGTTGGGTGGCGTCGGAAGTCGAGGGAGGGGGCCCGGCAGGAAAACCTCGAGGGCGTTAATCTGCACGAGAGACGGGGCGCGGTGTTGCCGATGGACCAGGGAGCGTGTGTGTTTCTGTGTCTTTAAAAAGAGTAGCAGAGGCACAGTGGGGTCTCGTGTATCGAGTCACGGGCTAGGTAGGACTGGGGAGCTCTGGGTTCAGATTCCCCCTTCGGACATGGAAAGTTACTTGGGGGAGGGGGTGTCGAACTGGTAAAACCGTTCCGGAAAGGTCTTGGAAACCTTTACCATGGTCGTCAGAACAGCGGAGTGCGACAACCAAAGGGTTTCTTCTCAAGAGGGAAATAAACCCTATACGTATATACGGTGTTGCGGTTTGCTTTTCGTAGCTGCTGGTAAAGGCGCAGCTGCAGGAGCCGAGCAGCGAAGTTGGCAACCTTAAGGAGTTGCCCCCCCCGCACGCACACCAGAGAGGAGCACCTTCGAATAATTTTTATAAGCCTATTTTGAGGTTATGGCTTGCTCCCGTTGTGTCTGGGGAGGAAATGCAAGCAGAAGAAGTAAAATGGGTGTTTTCGTTGGATGTGGGGGGAAAGGATCTTCGGGTGGGCTGTTGGGTGGGCTCATTTCATTTTGGATCGTTTGAAAGCGTGCTGGGCCTATGAGGGGTGAGATCAGGAAGACGGGGTTTGTTCGAATGGAAGGAGAAATGCATCCTCTTACCTTCATTTAAGTGGCTTGTAGAAAAGTTAATAAAAGGGGATGGAAAACAGTCCTGTCTGAGATGCAGGAGATCAAATAGAGAGGGAAGAATAAGGAACAGGTGAAATGTTTAGGCTGCAAAATCAGATAGATGTTTTATGTACAATAAGAATAGGCTTGAAAGTGGCAAGAAGGGATATGACTTAGCAAAACAAAGAGGTGATTAGGGGGGTGTGAGGGAAGCTGCTTGGCTGACTCAAGTGGATGATGTATGAATAGATGAGTGGTCCAGAATGAGTTTGAGTAGAATAAAAGAGGGTAGTAGGTTTCTGGAAAACTCTGATATGTTAGGCAGAAAGAAAGTTTCCAGGATTTATGAAAGCCTTCTTTTCATTTCAGGGAAAACCAGCAAACATATACTGTATTACTTTGATAATACATAAAGGCTGAGTAGAAACTTTCGTGGCTGATTATTAGAAAAGCACTTTTACTTGAAGATGTGGCTCAGTTTAGTTCTTCAGATTTGTTTGGAAATATTTTCAAATTCTTCTGACTGTCCAAACTGAACAGTTGCAGTTTGCTTCAAATATTGTTTGCCACCTATAAGCATTTTATTTGCCTTACAAATGGGCATGAAGTTGAACTTAATACTTTTTTTATTTTTTGCAAAACTACCTGTCTCCTGAAAGACTTTTTTTATAAGTTACATGAAAACTTGAACATGTAGTATGAATTGTGGTACATATCCCGCCTTTCCAGTATTACATTCCAGGTTATGAGTGTTTGTGTGGTAGTACTGTATTAGTCTACAATTCTATGTTGGTGAGATTTTCCATGCATAACTGCAGTGCTTGTATGAATCGAGTGCCTTGGAATAAATCTTTCCTATATTTCACTTAAAGCTTAACATTGTTTGGGAAAATACTTACTGTATTCTGCTGCCTATTGCTCTAGTGGTAAGAGTTGTTCACCCATGTGTAGATCTTTTGTTCACTGGTGACACTTGGCATTGTTGCTTGAGCTGATAGGAACTGAAGTGTTTCTATTTCTGATTTAAATTATATCTCAAAATTAATTTTCCCATCAAAGCTTCTTTGGCTATGGAGTCAGTTTTCTGACTTCAACCTTCATGCATAAGGATGTGATACAATAATCCTAAAGAATCATTTTTTGTTTCACATGTAACAATTAGGTATTGTGAGGTCTTGTCATGTTAAGTGGTGTAAAAAGTATTCTAAATTTCCAACAAACTTATAAGTCTGGTTTTTAAGAAACAAAAAGCAGTAGAAACAAAATGTTAAAACATATCTACCATTTTTGGTCAAGCCAATGAGGCATATTGGGACAAAAATGGAACAAAATGTTCCTTTTAAGTTTACATGTACTATGTACAGGATACAGAGAAGCAGTGGTGATGTACTCTTGTCAGTTTAGCCCACGACTAGAGCTTTGGAGTTCTCACTAGAATCAGAAAATAAAAAAATACACACAAATGCTAATGTTTTATACATTGGAATATGAAAGTTAATTGTAGTAACTTGAAAAATACATTACAATAATGTATTACTGCTTTTGTTAGAGGGCTTTGTAGAAGAGAAACAGGATAGAAGAAGAATTACTTCTAGCAAACTAGCACTTTTACAGCCAATGGTCTGTATGTAGTGTGTCCTTGTATATGTATATGTAAGTATTTTAATTCTTTGTTTATTAACATTCTACTAGATTGTCTGGTTTTTGCTGAAACGTCATTATTTATAATAATTGGGCAAAACATGTTCGCTTGTTAACTCAGGAAAAATGATTTTGAAACATTTGTTTTGCTCTGCTTTGGTATGACTAAATATTTATTTTTAAAATATTACTTTTTGTGCACAGAATGGACACTGACTACATTCCCATGGACCTATCTAATAACACAGGGGCTGAAGAACATTCTGAATTCAGAGACATTGAAGGAACAGATGTAAAAGACATGAGACTGGAAGCAGAAGCTGTTGTGAATGATGTCTTGTTTGCTGTTGGCAACATGTTTGTCTCTAAAAGCCTCCCTTGTGCTGAAGATGTGGCCTACATCAATGTTGAAACTAGAGAAAGGAACAAATATTGCCTTGAGCTTACAGAAGCAGGACTAAGGGTAAATGTGCCTTTTGTGAAGTTTTTCTTTCTTTCTTTCTTTGCCATCAGGCATTTACTAATCTACAGTGCAATAAAAACAGCCTACTTCAAAGTGTTTTTAAAATTATTCCAAATGTTCCCAAGTGTCTTCCTTTATATATGTAGAAAATAATAATTCTATTCCTGTGTGTGTGTTTTATTATCAAAAAACATGTTGGATTGCAGTCCCAGTGGAAGACAATTTGTAACCTATTGCTTTTCTACAGTGTGTTTTTTATTTTTTGTTTTCTAGCAGCTGTCATGTGGCTTTGGTCGCCTGACTGCATCAGTTACAAAGCCCTTCCAATCATTATTTATTCATGATGGGAAAGCCTTAACACTCATGTTTCTGCTTGTTGGCAGTTTTTAAAAATCTCTGAAATCCAGAAAAAGGTAGTAACCGTAATCAGCTTAAATATAATACCCACTTTGAATGATCTGTTTTGAAAGATTCAGGGCAGAGTGGTGAGATCTAGGGGAATTGGAAGGAGTTGAAATGCCCCCACCCACTCTACTGCAGTTCCTAGAGTCAAATGTTGCATGATTTCCTGCCATCCAAGCCAAGTTTCAGACAGAATCTCTCTGTATTGATGGTGCTTCATCAGTACCAATTATAGTCTTTTAAATCCCAAACTCTTTAACCCTCTTTTCAAACCTGTGGAAAAACATTAGAATCTGTGATTGATTTAATAATAAGTTGGGCTGTTTTATCCATGTAATTTTACTTTATTGAATACCTTCTTTTTACTTTATTAAATACCTTTATTGAATACCATAATATACATTATTTTCTCTTCTGTAGGTGGTTGGTTATGATTTTGACCAAGTAGATGATAATGTACAAAATCCCTACCATGAGACTGTCTACTCTTTGTTGGACTCCATTAGCCCAGCATACCGAGAAGCTTTTGGAAATGCCTTACTACAAAGACTAGAAGCTTTGAAAAGAGATGGACAGTCATGATTGCATCTGCCATTGAAACAGGCTTTAGCGAAAGGAAGGAAGGAAAATTGCTGCTGGTCAGAGTTTTGAATAGGTTGTACTGAGATCCAATGGCATGGGGAAAGACTTCCTTAGCTTGCATTGTTTCTTTTCAGTATTCCTTGTGCCATGAATTTTAATGGCATCAACTTGTAAACTGTACCATTGATACTGTTGTTCTGAGTAAATCCTCCAACTTACTTTTAAGGTGACTTGGTGTCATATACCATTACTGTTCTTGGTTAATTTTGTTCCTGGTAGTTAAAAGTGACTGAACTTTCTGTAGTTTTAGTCCCGTTCATATTAGTTCAGTGCTCAAGTTTAACAATGCTACAGTTAGTGGTGTTCTTACAACTCTGTACCTACTTAGACTTAAATCAGTAGTATGTTTCAGGACAATTTTGTCATAACCAGATATTATTTGCCATTGCTAAACTCAATAATAGAGATCTTATTTCATTGAAAACATTTGTTTAGTTCAGCATGGATTTATAAGTTGTCTAACTCACTCAACAGAAAAGTATGTATCTTACGATATGGTTCACAACCATGGTATGCGCAGTACTAATCAGTAACTGAACAGTAGTATTCAGTATTTATACCCTGTGGGTAGCAAGCTTAAAATGCTAAACAAATGGTGAGCTGTAGGCATCATGAATGTATTCATCAACCAAAATACATGTGGGATAAGCACAAAAATGGGGAAGTTAAAAGCTACATTCTTTGTAAAGCCACATCTTCCATTGCTTTTGCTAAAACTGTTTTAATGTTGTATAAAGATAACTACTTACAATTGCTTTGAATGTTTACAAAATGCACAGTATATATCAAAGTATTTTTGATTCCTTATTTGCTATATTATAGTTACTAAGAATTTCTGTAATCTCTTGTATTCTTCCAGCCTGTTTAACCGTTTCTGTTACAGTTCATTGTATTGGTTCAAAAACCAAAGATTGAAATAAGTATTTGAAAATGGATGATCTTACATACAACACCTGTTAATTTCCAGTGCTGCTGTAATCTCAGTGTATTCTGTTTAGGATAAAAGCCTGTTTTAAAATAACACTATATATTTCATTAAGGAGTATCTAATAGTACATATAGCTAAATAATGCTAACAGCTACCTAGTTCTCAAAGTGAATGCATTGGTAAATATCAGATATGAGTAGGCATATATATAGTGATATATATAGCACAATATATATACTGTATATGCCTTGAGTCTCCTTGATTGCTAGTCGTTTACCTTGAGAAAACGTCCATGATATAAGGAACCATTTAGCTTTGAGCTATTTATTCATTGTGCTGTAATTATAGCTGAAATAATCTATAATACCACCTGTTATTTTGAAATAGTGATTTTTTTCTTATCATTTAAGGAGCTGAAATGCCTCACATTTACCTTTACTTATATACAGTTAGAGTATTGATTTAAATAATATGAAATGCACAGAGAAATTTGGTAGATGTGCATTCATAATTTAGATTTATGGCATGGATATTAAATTTCCATGAGAAAAATGTAGTTTCTCAGTATCATATTATTTCTTGAATAACTGCAGCCATGTTTGTTTTGGGAATTATATACTTGAATAAAAGAACAGAGACAACTTGAATCTTGAGTTTTTAGAAAACATTCATTATGGATACACATGTAGGACTTCAACTTGTGCTTCTGGAAAACTTACTTAAACCTAGGTTAGGAATGAATTGTATCAAGTTATGTATCCATATGTATCTATAAAGTTTATATAATGTTTCTCTTTTTAAAAGGGCTATTCCCAGACTTAGTACTGTACAAACATGGGGCGGGGTTATTTTTGGCAGGGATGGGAATTTAAGTCGCAGGCATCATTGTCAAGTTGGACTTAAGTTGCACAGGTGACTTAACTCAGACTCGACTCAGGTTTCTTATTTTTTCTAATGACTTGGACTCATAACTTGGAACCCGCCCAACCTCTCTCTTTTAATGGGGAAAAAGCTTTTTTTAATAGGGACTTGGTATCAAAGACTCAGACTTAGGACTCACACCCAAAGACCTGCCAATATCCCTGATTTTTGGTTTCTAATGAATAGAGCTGTGGTTTGGAGGAACATGATGGCTCTTGTTCATGATGGGTCATCAGAGAGTAGCTTGAAGTTCTAGACACTGGATGCTTTCTGGTAGCTGCACCTACTAAAAGGCTTTTATTCAAAGATGTGGAAAATGTGTGTAATGCCTCACTTTTTAAAGTCAAAAATATCCAGTATGATAGCATCTATAGAGTAAACAGATTTTTTTTTTGGTAAAGGCTTCCTTTAGTCATACTTTATATCTGACCCTCAGAATGGAAATCCTTCAAATTCAATCATCTAGACGCAAGGTGAGTGGCTCTTTGTAGTTGGACTAGAGAACTGAATATACAAATCAAATGGACAAGAAATGTAATTCAGATTTCTGCTCAGTCTTGAACCATGGAAGACTTTCTGCCTAGCATTGTTCACAGGGTGGTTGTAAGGATAATGTTCTATAATTTCTTGTTCATTTAGGGTTGTGAATGCACAAGTGTGAACATAACTACAGTATCCTGGAGGAAAAAAATAAGAGCTTTAGAGAATGATCATGTTAACCTTGGTTTTGGCTGTCAAGAGACAGCTGCTTTGATTACCATTACTATCATGAGTTATGACAGTAATGCCTAACCACCACCAGATCCAAACTGATAGACACCTTGAACATAACACACCAGACATAGTAATAATAGAATGAAGAAACATCTAGATCATTGACATTGCAATTCCAGGGGATGCCAGAGTTGAAAATAAAGAATTGGAAAAACAAAGTATTGGCAATTGAAACATCTCACCTCTGGAAGAGACACACTTCAGCAGTCCCCGTAGTCATTGGGGCTTTGGGAACAGTATGAAGAAATTTCACACAGTTCTATCTCAGAAATCACACCAACAGAGCTAAAAAAAACCCCAGCAATATTAGGAACAGCATACATACTGCATCAATATTTAAGAGATACTTTTGGGTTTGGGTTTTGGGTTAAAACTTGTATCTGTTATATAATACCAGTCAATGTTTTTATAATTTTAACTGCCTAGTTTTCTTCTTCTTCTTCTTCTTCTTCTTCTTCTTCTTCTTCTTTATTTATTTATTTATTTATTTATTTATTTATTTTCTTATATTTCACACTGTATTATAAGCAGTTATAGATCTCAGAAATAACACCAGAACTACAAAAAACAATATTGGGAACATCAAACATGTGCCGATATTTAGCAGATACTTATCTGTTATACCAATCAAAGTTTTTATAATTTTTATTGACTGTGAATAATAATAATGTGCTGTCAATTCTGACTTATGCCAGTCCTTTTCAGGACTCTCTTGGTAGCGAATCCTCAGAAGTAGTTTACCATTCCCTTCTTCTGGGGGTATCCTGGGACTATGTAGTCTGCCCAGGGCCACATAGGCTGGCTCTACTGCATCCCAATGCACCAAACACCTTTAGCTATTACCTTTTCTTTAATGGCTACAGAGGGACATAACCTCAACAATGCTTAACTACACATGCTCATTAAATTCCATGGGCAACTGTTACTTTGTGGGGGCTACACAACTTTGGGTTTCAGCCTGATCTACTTTAAAGGGTTGTTGTCATGACAGAGACGGTACGAAAAGAGCCATATAAGCTCCTTGGTCTTAACAGTAAAAAACAAATTTAAACAGGAAACTTCCAGGAGAGACACATTTTATTCAATAAAAATATTGAAAACGTTTTTATTAAGTTAATAAAATTCACTTTTTCCAGATTCCTGGGACTTAGTCTCTCCTGACTGGGATGTAAATGTAATAAATAGTAGTAAATAGTACCAGGATGGCTGAGCGTTGGCCATGCTGGCTGGGGCTTGTGGTAAATGGAACACATCATCATCCTCTGAGGCGCGCTCGTTTTCTCCACAGTGCTTTGTCCATATGGCATCATATGCGAGTAAGCCTCATTGAACTCAGTGGGGCATACTCCCAAGCAAGAAAGGCGTTCAGATAACCTCTGTGCATGTTCTTCAGTGTGCTGAAGAATGATGATCTCGGAGGAGATCATTCTTCACTGGTCGCTCCAGCTCTCCCTCCATCATCAACCCCCGCTTTGTGGTTTGTTTGCTATCGCTCGTGGGGCCTTCCCTCTCTCCCCGTCCTGCGCGGGCCTCGGTTGCTAAGCAACCGCCGGCTTCTTCTGACAACCGCGGCCATGTCGGAGGAGGAGGAGGCGGTGGCCGAAGCGGAGGAGATCATCCGGAGCCAGAGGATCTTTCTCAACCACTTGGACACCTTCTGCGGCACCAACATCGGGAAGGTGGGTGGGGGGCTGGCTGGCTGGCTGGGGACCGCGCCCCCAACCCCGGAGGAGGGCATGAGCTTCGGGGACCGGTAACGGTAAACCCATGGGAAAGAGAAGAAGGCTGGAGGTTGGTGGGTGGCAGGGGGAAGGAAACACAGGAGAGGCACCTCTGGGGTAAGAGAGCCTGCCCGGCTGCCCTCGGAGACACAACCCAGCCAGCTCCACGGAGAAACTCCAAACCCGGTGGTGGTTTTGGAGAGGTTGGACTACAGATCCCATCGTCCATAGCCGGCATGGTGGCTGTGGCTGATGTGATCTGTAGTCCAACCTCTCTGGGACGGTGCTGGGTTGGGTAAAAAGACTGACCAAAGTAAACCTTCTTCCCCTTCTCGCTTTTAAAAAAACAAAGTTTTAAAAGTTTTTTTTGAAAAGTTCACTTAACAACTCCTGAGAACTGCATGACCATGTCTTAAAATGTACATTCAAAGTATCTAGCAAGCTGTACTGTTGGAGCCTCTCTGGAAGAAGTAGGAGAGGAAGAGGAAGAAGAAGATGAAGGAAGGTCTATGGCTGAAATTTCACCCCCTAAACCAAAGGAAGGCATATACCAAGTTGTGGGAACTCTTTCAGAGTCAGGGGGTAAAAAACCACCTTTTGCTGTGGAAGCATACACAGTAAGTACAAATCGTGTTTAATCTAGGAAATATTTAATATGAAAACTGCAGCAGAATACTACTTACTTACTTACTTACTTACTTACTTACTTACTTACTTACTTACTTACTTACTTACTTACTTACTTACTTACTTAGGCATTTATCAGCTGCCAGAAAGGGTAATAATAAATCAACAAATGTAGTATTTTATAAGCTCTATATCGTTTGAAGTAAGCGCCTTAAGAATCCTGAATGAGAGAAGGAAGTAACCCAAATACATAAAAATAATCTCCCCATCCCAGTTTTCAATGTTTGGACGCACATATTAGCCATGCTGCAGCTGAAGTAACCCCTGAGTATCAGAATGATGAGTGAAGGTCACTTTACCTTTGGAAAGAAATCTTCTTTATTGTGGCTTCTATGTATTTCCACAATTGGGTCTCTGCACCTGCACGGACTTCTTTTCTAATAAAATAAGGCTGCTAATATTTCGTCAACGGTTAAATGGAGATAAGGAGAATGACAGGAATCCTAGCTGGAGATTGAGGAACAGGTGGCCGAGCCCTCTCCCTCCAGAACAGTCTAGAGCAGCGGTTCTAAACCTCGAGTCCCCAGATGTTCTTGAACTACAACTCCCAGAAATCTTGGCTAGCACATCTAGTGGTGAGGGTGTCTGGGAGTTGTAGTCCAAGAGCATCTGGGGACCCAAGCTTAGGAGCCATGGGTCTAGAGAAAAGTCTGTGGGAAGGAGGAAGTTAAACTGAAACTGGAAGGATGTCATCACAGGCAAGAGCAGGTAAAAGACAATTTAGAAAGTCTGAGGAGGCTCCCCTCTATCCACCCTTCTCCATGCAGACATGCATCTTTGATATAAGGGGGGTTTACTCAGTCACTTCTAGTTGAGGAAATGAGAGAGAATCAAAGTGAATGTGATCTTTGGCAAGCTGAACAAAAATAAAAAAAAAATCTCACCTTGCTTGGAGCATGGTGTCATCATGAGGGCAGAGAACAACACTGATGATAGATGATGTGTCTTTTCTAACTGAATGCTAGGCTGAATGCTTTTATTGCAGCAGGTAAGATTATAATATGTCCCAGAAATCCTCCTCTGTAACAAAGTTGGTTACAGGTGGACGTTGCAGGATTAGTTTATGCATATATCGCATTTATAACCCACCTTTGCTCCAGTGAACTAAAGGCAATGGCTGATGTGGCTGTCCTCCTCCTCCTCCTCTTGAACCCCTACAAAAACTGTCCTGTGGGGCCGGCAAAGCAGATAGAGAGGGACTGGCTCAAAATCGCCCAGTGTTGTTTCATAGCTTGGTGGAGACTAGATTGCACAAGTCCCGGTCTGACATCCTAACCACTGGCTGAAATTCTGTTGTGCAGTTACTCAAATGGCTTTAACATTTGGAAGCAAGCTGCCATAAGTTAAGAAATATCTGTAGACGTTATCTGTTGCACACCAAGCTGTGTGACTTGGCATGCAGCAGCTAATGGAAGAGATTTCAGTAATTTGCTAATTTGCTTCAAAGTCACTTTGGTATACAGCAGGATTTCAGCACCATGTCACATTGGCTCTCAGATTAGGGCTTCATCTTAAAAGGAGCCTCTGAATATATCAAAAATGCAAAAAAAAATGGATTTGAGAAGAACTCTCAAGACTAGACTCTCTCTCTCTTTTGTAAGGTTGTGGGACTTCTAAAACATGTACTGTAGTGTCCCAGCATATCTTAAACTACCCCTAGCAAAAACTGATGGGAAGTAAAAATCAATAGCTGCTGGAGCTGCATTTCTATAACATCCAAAGGATCTCAATTGCCAAGTAGGACCTGCTACTGTATTTGCTGATACACTCATCCGGTGCCTGAAAATACTGAATGAAACCCTCCAAATATATCTATTTCCAGGGTGTAGTTACCAAAATTGACCACTAGAAGGAGCTAGAGACCATACAATGTACAGTATACAGTAGCTGTTAATAGGTCTGCATTTTTCTGGCATGCATGGCTGGGAATCGTTCCCCTGCAGATACTGCAGTTCTACAGTATAACATGTGCTTTATTTATTTTGTCTATTTAAAATATTTAAATGCTGCCTTTCTCCTAAAAGGACTGAAGGCCACTTACAATATTAAAAAGCAATGGTCCAACCAGAATATTCATAATTAATGGCAGAGATAATAGGTTTAAAACGCTCCCTCCTTGTTTCCCAGTACATCTTTACAGACTCCTTTGTTTTTTTAGACATCTTCCCAAGAAGAGCTGCTACAGCGCCTGTTAGAATGTGACATTATTATTTATAACATCACTGAAGATGCAAAACAAATTGAGGAAGCAACTTGGGCAGCCACTGGTAAGTACCCTTTGATTTTTACCTAAAATAGGTATGGGGAATTTGAATATCCAGGTTTCCAAAGCTGGTGGAATTCATCCACCAGCTTTGGAAAGTGGTTTAGGAGGGGGCTGTTGTTGTTTAGTCATTAAGTTGTGTTGGTTTACGACGGGGCTGTTGTTGTTTAGTCATTAAGACAGGCCCTCCTGTCTTCCACTGCCTCCCAGAGTTTGGTCAAACTCATGCTGGTAGCTTCAGTGACACTGTCCAACCATCTCGTCCTCTGTCGTCCCCTTCTCTTGCCTTCACACTTTCCCAACATCAGGGTCTTTTCCAGGGAGTCTTCTCTTCTCATGAGATGGCCAAAGCATTGGAGCCTCAGCTTCAGGATCTGTCCTTCCAGTGAGCACTCAGGGTTTTTCCTTCAGAACTGATAGGTTTGTTCTCTTTGCAGTCCAGGGGACTCTCAAGAGCCTCCTCCAGCACCACAATTCAAAGGCATCAATCAGTCTGCGATTAGCCTTCTTTATGGTCCAGCTCTCACTTCCATACATCACTACTGGAAAAACCACAGCTTTGACTATTCGGACCTTTGTTGGCAAGGTGATGTCTCTGCTTTTTAAGATGCTGTCGAGGTTTCTCATCGCTTTCCTCCCAAGAAGCAGGCGTCTTTTAATTTTGTGGCTGCTGTCAGCATTTGCAGTGATCATGGAGCCCAAGAAGGTAAAAATCTGTCACTGCCTCTGTACTAGGTCTAAATTCCTCAGCCATGGACTTTCTTGGTGGCATTGAAGAAACCTCTTTTCCTTCTTTTCTTGACCTTTACATGTATTATAGAAGAATGGGCTCTTACCTACCTCACACTGGTAAAGAAGTCACTCTCACTGCATCTTGCCCATACAACTGGGTTCATTTCAGTAGCCTTCAGGTTGCACAGCTGTGCTGTGTCTGCTTGTCTCGTAATCTCTAAATTAGATTTGCTAAATTTGATTATGCTCAGACGAAGACTCTAGTCCAGTACAGTCTGTTAAATAGATTGTGGCTGAGACCATACATGCTCAGAACTCAGGGTGTGAGGCCCTGTCAAATGTTGAAAGTTCCACTGATGAGTTTCTTGGGGGAATGGGTGTGTTTGTATGGACTAAACCCCAGTCTTCTATAAATCCTCTTCCACCGTTGATTGGTGCTCCCACTGACCTTTTATTAATGCACATCTGCTTCATCTTGGATGGACTTTAGCAAGTAGGACAATACACAAAGCATCTGTTTGTATTTAATTTCTTTGTCTAATGAAGAATATGGATGCTGAAACTGCCTAGCTAGATTATGTGTACTTTGTAAAGTAGTGGTAGGCTATTTGCAGCTGTGCAGATGTTCTTGGATTGCAGCTCCCATCAGCTTTAGACAGCACAGCCAATGTTGAAGGGTGATGATACAACAAAATCTGGAGGATCACAAGCAGATATTGCAACATAATTTTGAAAAGGACCAACGTTGTGTTGCTTATTATTTTGAGGCACCCAAATGGCTGTTACCATTATTGCTACTATATTTGCATAGGTGGTTCATTGGGTGTGGCCCAAAACCCAGCAGTATTGGCTGTTTTCGACTTTAAGGCTTCCCCATTCTTTCCCAAGGCTCATAAAGATTTCCCGAGGGCAAAAGGGAGCCCTTGAGACCTGAAACGGGAGAATGGGAAGCTTTTATTTAGTTTAAATTAAATGTTTTTAGCCCCCAGTCCAGGTTACACCAGATGCAAAGTTACACAAAAAGGATTTTACCCAATGAGTAGGATCAATGCTAGATCAGAGGTGGAAAACAACTGATTATAAGTAATGTACATACTGTAGTTGAAGACAGGAGGTCCTGGCGTGCTCTGGTCCATGGGGTCACAAAGAGTTGGATACAACTTAACGACTAAACAACAACAACATAGTTGTAACTAGTTACTTTTTTGTAACAAGTAATATAACTAGTACTTACAAAGTTACTTCTTAGGCATAACAAGCAGGACCCAAGTTATTTAAGAGTAATGAGTAACATCTGGGCCAAAATCCAGCTGAAGAAAAAGTGCATGCAGCAGTTTTTCACAAAGGAGAACCTGCTGGTAGTGGTCGTGGTGATGTAATTGCTCTTATCAGATTGTGAAAGTTAATATGATTTTGTTATTTTATTTTTTATTTATTTACTGGCCAGGTATGTAAACAATACCCGGAATTTAATATGGCTACCGACCACACTTAAAAACAATACACACACACACACACACACACACACACACACCATAAACAGAAAAATTCACAAGACAATTAAGAACAAATTCTACAAAAACCGATTGCCTCAACTCCCAGTTGCGTCAGATGGTTACAAATTCAGCAGTTTGATGGCACAGGGAAAAAAGCTATTTTTGTGCCTCGATGTTTTAGTATACAGCGTCTTGTATCGCCGACCAGAGGGGAGAAGATTAAACAAGTTGTGACCAGGATGCCGTGGATCTGCCGCGATCTTTTCCGCTCTCTTTTTAACCCGTGCAATGTACAACTCTTCCAATGATGGCAAATCAGCTCTGATTATTTTTCCAGCAGTTCTGACAGTCCTCTGAAGCCTGTTCTTGTCCAGTTTGGTTGCCGAACCGAACCAAACAGTTATGGAAGAGCAGAGGACAGATTCAATAATGCCTCTGTAAAATTGGACAAGCAGCCCCCGAGGCAGATTGAATTTCCGAAGTTGTCGTAGAAAATACAGACGCTGGTGAGCTTTTTTAATGATGCCATCGATGTTAATTGACCATTTCAGGTCCCGAGAGAGTACAGTGCCCAGGAACCTGAACGGCACTCTGACAAATTATTTACACAGTCACAGCAATAATAAGACATGCCATCCATTCTAGTTAAAAATGTAACATTCTGAGCACTATGCTAAATTTATCTAAATTCAGACAGAGATTATGAGATGCACAGTACATAACATTTTCTAGTCATTTAGTTTGAATGAGAGTTTTAGACTTTTTCTGGAACATTTTAAGTGACATTCCAGTTTTGGGCAGTACTCTTATCATGTCTATTTTTATTTAAAGTAGCTAAAACTGACAAAACTTAATGAAGAAATAAGGAGTTATAGATATGTGCATTTTACAATGTGAAATTGCTGAATGTTATTTTTAGTTGTTTTTAGTTACATATTGAATTACTTTTTAATAGTAACTTTTCAAGCTCTAGGAATCTCTAATCTGAATTTATTCAGGACTAAAATGTGTGAAACATCAACTTCACAGTTAGAAGGTGATAAAAGAATATTTCTCTAGAGACAAATGCTTGCAAAAAATGATGAGGTGGCATAACAAGACAGCCACTTTATAATACTGGGAAATTAAACACTTCCTCTGTGCCTTCATGAACAGGGAAATTAAAAAAAACACATTTTTACACTCCATTAGGGCATTGCTGATGTGCTGCATCACTTATAATTAAAAAAAAATACTGAAAATTTGATCTCGGGAATTACCTATAGCCAAATCCACTGCTGGCGGGTACTCATTGTCTTAAGCCACTTCACAATATGGAGAATTCAAAGAGATGGGAAAACTGACAGTGGAAATTTTGTTTTTGTTCATTTCCAGTCATTGTATGTGCTGGATACGAACTAAACAGAGCCTAGAGTGGTCCGGTGGGCCAGATAGCCAGGGTATAAATTAAATAAATAAATAAGACCCTTCCCACTCAAATGAATTAGAAGCTCTTGACAGGGACCCAGAACAGTGTGGTTAGGAATGCCTTGGGGGTGGGCTGGTTCACTCTAGCAAATATGTCCTCTGATCACCAGCTTTAGGAGCAACTAGCCTATCCTCACAGTGGACCACAGTGGACTAAATGCCTGTTTAGTCACCCTCTCAGTCTGGTTCCATCACTATCACCAACCCAGCTACTGTTTTGCACTTTTCACTGGATGGCAAATCTGGATTTTAGTGATACAGTAAACTAATTTGAAATCTATCTATACAGTATGCATCAAGATATTCTGCATATAATATTGATCTTAAAGTTACCACAATCAGAAAATTTTTCCTTGCACATGAATAGAGAATATAACCCTTGTTTTCACTTTAACATATGTGCCGTAACATGGTTATTCAGTGTTGAATGAAGAATCAGTCAACTTTGAGAAGCAGAAAGTGTTCATATTACTATCCACAATAATGACCTGGGCACGCAGCAAGCCCCTTGATCCGGTGAGTGCTCGGAAAAATAAACCAACTTCTGGTATTAATTTGAATAATTAAACTTGTGCTTTTATCACTTTATTTTTAATTTTTTTTTATTGACAGAATGTTTAGTGAAGTTTCTTTTCTCTGAACTGGGATGACACTGGACTGTTCAGATTTTTTTTGGAAGAAAAACTTGCCTTTATTTTGGATGAAGATGTTTTTGGATATATTGTCCTTGAAATGAATCTATTATTGCTGTAAATATATTATGAAATGAAAGTATTCATATATAAAATGGAAAAAGTATTAACAGTATGGTGAAATCTCATTTCTCTGAACTGGGATGATACTGGACTGCTGAAATTTCAGCATTTCTTCCTTCCTTCCTTTTACTTTATTTTTCTTCTTCACCATAGTCTGATTAGAGAAAGCAGTTCTTACTATCTTTTACTATGACTTTCATTTAACTAACGTCATGGTAAATGTTAGAATGATTATACTGTATCTCCTTCAGTTTTTCAAAGTAAAAATTGAATTACTTATAATTTTTTTTAAAAAAATCTTCCTCCCCCACTACTCCACACAGGACGATCCAGAAATACCTTTCACTGAGGAAGACTATCGTCGAAGGAAACCTCATCCCAACTTTATGGAGCACATTAATGCGGAAAAAACTGTTATCAAACTTGGTAAAAATGTGAGTATTAACAGAAAATGAACTGTGTGTGCTTATCAAAAGGAAAGAGATGGGGCACATTTATTTACAAGCAGAGTCTTGACACTACCTTGAATGAACAGCAAAATACAATTGAAATAATAGTAATAGTGATGATAAGGTGACGTATGTTTTCTAGGGTCAGGGGACACCTGACTGCAGCTTAGGAGGATTCTAAAGAATCTCACAATTTGAATTATCTTCATCTCAGCCCAAGTAAAGAAGGAAAACATAGCAACGTTCCATGCAGACCTAGATGTGACAAAGCCCACAGAAACTATCTTAGGGTTTGGCTAGATGGCTAAATTGAAGCAGGCTGGATTTTGGACTAAATAAGGTTTCCTAGAGTCATGTAAAGGTTCTGTGTGCCATTTGGTGTGCATCTACATGGCATACTCACCTGAAGCAACTCTATTTCAGATGTCCTTTTAAAGGGAAAGGGGGAAAAATAATCAACAAACCAGAAATCCTCACACCTTCTCCTTCTTGAAGAAAGCTTCCAATTTTAATTTTTTTTTCCTAAAAGGTATAGTACATCAGTGCTTCCTCCTCTCCACCTAACATGGAGGAGCACAGGGAGTTTTTAATTTCCCAGTATTAAGTGGCTACTATGCTGTCTACTTGCGCCACTTAATGATATTGGAAAACTGAAAGCAAATTCAATCCCAGCAATTGCATGAGTTCAAACCGAGATGGAGCGATCCTACCTGCACTTAAAAAAAAAAGTAGCCCCTGTCAGGGGCCAGGAAGGTGCTGGTAGGAATGCTGAGGGGATGAGAGGGTTCATGCTGGCACTTACATTGTGTGCTCAGTTGGAAAAGGAGCAAACCAGCCTGTCCCCAGAGCAAAAGCAAAAAGCGGAAAGCAAAGCGTGCTGCTTATATACCACCCCATAGCGCTTCAAGCACTCTCTGGGCGGTTTACAAGTTAATTATGCAGGCTACAAATTCCCCCCAGAAAGCTGGC